TTTGTACTGAGAGACCGTTATCATTCCAGTGGAGTTCCCGAGGGTTATATGATATTTTTTTATCGCTTGGAGCGCACGAAAGGGAATCCCTATAATGTTCAAAGAACATCGTGCGTTCCTAGGGAGGATAGGGACAGGAGGTAGGTATTGGATTTTTTTTTGAACTTTTGGAGATTTTATGTTGTTGGGAATACTTCCACAGGCAATGAATTCCAGAGCCTAGCCTATGAAGGAGTCTTGATAAAGTGCTGTTCGACATCTTTCGAGGTTGACAACGAGAGGATGTGCTGACTGAGCTTGTCTAGTTCGTCTGATTGGTATTGCTAGTGAAGGGATGATAGCAGAGATTTCCGAAGAACATTTCCCGTGGAAGTATCGATAGAAAAGTGAAAGGTCGCCGACCTTCCTACGGTGTTCCAATGATGTCAAAGAGTGAGTGAGTGTGGCGTCACCTACCAGGCGAATGGCTCTTCTCTGGATGGAATCTAAGAGCATCAGCGTATGTTTTGGTGCTGAACCCCATATGTGGGAACAGTATTCTAGAACAGGCCGTATCTGCGCTTTGTAGATCATGAGAATCTGTTGAGGTGTAAAGTAGCTTTTCGCACGGTACAAGAATCCGAGTTTTTGCGAAGCAGCTTTTGCGATGGATCTGACATGATTATCCCATGAAAGAGTGTTGCTGTTGGAAATACCGAGCATAGATATGGTGGGCTTGGTGGGGATGGTGGAGCCAGACATTACAATATCGGGCATACTGAGTTCCTCCTCTCTAGAGAAAATGCAGGCTTGAGTTTTGGTGGCGTTGAATTCAACTAGGTTGTTTGTTCCCCAGGCTGTGATTTCAGCAAGATCTTCATTGACAGCATTGACCTGCTTGCGCCGTGAGTTCTTAGTTTCCTGGGAAGAAATGGGAATTCTGGAAGAGAACGCAGTATGGAGGGTACTATCATCTGCAAAGCTGTGGATGGGGCAAGTTGTTACTCCCAACAGATCATTGATATGAAGCAGGAATAATGTTGGTGCCAAAATTGATCCTTGTGGAACGCCGGAATTGATGCCAATGGTATCAGACGATACACCGTCCACCACCACGTTATGGCATATGGCATTATGGTATAGAATATTGTTTAACGAGCACGGAATGATAGTGATTTCTTACGAGAATGAAGTTTGCAACATATATAGGAGAAAGCTGCAATCATTCGAGTAGGGAAGGTAAGTTATAAGATGAAATATTCTTTATTTCATTCAGAGAACTTATGAGATGAAATTCATGTAGACTCTACTCTCCAGGTAGGTAGTGGAAGTGGAGTTTATGAATAAGTAGAATTTCTTTGAGGAATAGATATATGTTGTTATTCGACGAAAAAATGTATTATGAGTTGAAGAAGTTATTGGAATCGTGTTTGTTTCATTCCCAATCATGGTTGTTAACAAATAAGATTTTCTCATCCAGAATATAAGGCAAAATGTTGATGAAGTTTGGTTATACACAATCCTTTCTTTTTTATTGTATTACAGAGAAACATAGAGAAAATGATTTAGTGATGGGACCTGTCATCAGTAACAAAGCAAGAGGTTGACACCATTGGTATTCATTATTCCAGATGTATTGGGATTTCCTCTTCTCGTCTATAATAATAAAAATATGAATACTATTTCAATATACGTGTAGTTATAGGACAAATCGGAAGATTTGCCCCGAAATGTCACTTCGTTTAAAGAATTCTTCTGTCGGAGAGCCTAGAAGAAAAATCCACCAGCTTTTCAGTGACAATTTGAAGAAGAGAAATGAAGGTATATAGAAAGAATATCAAATTTTCACTTATCTTTGGACGTTTCGGGAACGAGTCTACTCCCGTTTTCAACATAAAACATGGATTTTTGTATTGCAAATTCCTGACACTTTTCAGTTCTCAGTGAAGATTGGTGACGTTGGCAATTGAATGTGTTACAGGAAGTTCTCATTAATTGATCTTGAATTTCCATTCTCATCTTCAGATATCAAAACTGAAGATTCATTGAGATCAATTCAAACTCAGACGAAACCGAAAAATGAAGAACAATCGTCAAAAAACTGTATTTACAGTATACCTTGTGTTCGTGGAAAGTTTAATACTGGTGAAACCAAGAAACCTCTTTCAGTAAGGACGAAGGAACATAAATACAATATAAAGAAGAGACACTTCGAAAAATCGAAACTAGCTGAACATATTCTTACTGAAGATGGACAACATAATATGGCAGAGTGGAATAATATTAAGATCATTGGAGAAGAAGATAACAACCAAAAGAGAAAACTCAAAGAATCTGTTTGCATTCTTCTGAACGGAGACGATAGCATTGCTTCCTGTTCAGTTGATATAGATAGAACATGGAATATTCACTACTGAAATCTGAAAATGAAAATGGTGAATACAAGATTAATTATTGAAACTCATTTGATTGCCAATGTCACCAATTGTCACTGAGAACTGGAAAGTGTCAGGACAAATACGAATTTGCAATACAAAAAACCCATTGTTCATGTTGAAAACGGAAGTAGATTCGTTCTCGAAACGTCCAAAGATGAGTACAAATTTTATATTTTTTCTATATACATACCTTTAAAATTCTCTTCTCCAAAAGTTTTTCAATACAAATTGTCACTGACAAGCAGGTGCATTTTTCTTTTAGGCTCTCTGATAGGAACATTCTTTGTACGTAGTGATATTCTGGGGCGAATCATCTGATTTGTCCTAACTACACATATACTTATTATACAGGGTGGTCCGTTTTTTAATACGGAAATTTTAACACCTAATAGTACTCGTTGAAATTATAAATAAACTTCCTATAAACATATACTTTTAAACGCTTCGTTTTCGAGATACCCTATATCTACCCTATATATGTTCAAGTTTCTTTAAAAAATCGATTATTTATTGATTTCTCAGAAATGCTATAGCCGATTGTGATAAAATTCACAACTATTGTGGAAATATCATTGAGCTAACTTTTAGACCTATTACAGTTCATGAATGAGTTACATATTTTCAGGGGCGTGCATTTCAAAGTACACTTTTTTTGCCCTCTTAGATTTCTTATCTGATAGCTTCGTTTCAGAAGGAAAAATAAAAACCAAATCTATGCATGTCTCTAAATCCATTGAAAAAAACATTGTAATGCATTAAATCTAGTTAGCATTGGCCGTTTACCAAACCAATCATGAAACCATTGCAAATCAATCATTTACGTATTAAAAGAGCCACAACAGGCCATAGACCGCAGTGGATATACTGCTATTTGTCTTCAATGTTGCCGAGCTAGAACATTCTTACTAGTTAGTTTTTGAGATACAAGGTGTCAAAAATACGCTTCAGAATAAATATAGTTTTTCAATCAAAAGTTAGAAACGGTTAAAGATGAATTAACGAAATTTTTCACAGATTCTAAACTTTTTGAGCTTTATTAGATTAAATAAAAATTGTTCATGAAAAATATTCAGTGGCGGCTGAATCTGGGGTGGCGAAGGAAAAAATCATGGTTCAACAATCAAACTTTTAAAGAATAAAATTAGGTAAATATAAATAGAGAACAAAGGAATCCAATGCACTAGAAATTTGTATTGGGTTCAATTTCATTCGATTGAAAGCTTCATTAATTCTTTCAACCAATTGTTCTCTTGAATCAATTGGTACTTCATAAACCTTATCTTTAATTGCTCCCCAGACATGGAAATCCAAAGGATTAAGGTCTGGTGACCTTGGTGGCCAAGCTTCTGGTCCTGAACGACCAATCCAACGATCTGGATAATTTGAATTTAAATGAAAAATGATTACTCGAGAATTTTGGGTAATTATTACCTTCGCCACCCCAGATTCAGCCGCCACTGGATAATTTTTATGAATAGTTTTTATTTAATCTAATAAAGCTCAAAAAGTTGAGTATCTGTGGAAAATTTCGTTAATTTATCTACCGTTTCTAACTCTTGATGAAGAAAATATATTCAGAAGCGTATTTTTGACACCCAATATCTCAAAAACGAAGCGTTTGAAAGTATATGTTCATAGGAAGTTTTTTTATTATTTCAACGAGTACTATACGCTGTTGAATTTTCCGTACTAAAAAACGGACCATCCTGTATAGAAACGAGGAGAGAAAATCCCAACAATATAATGCATGTACCACCTCCTCGATTTACCTACAGACAGTATATCATTGCTATTTATTGCCTTCATTTGAATGAACCATATCACTTATTAGACATTGGGGCTTGCAGAAAAGTCCCTTTTCCAGTCGTATTTCAGAATAGTCACTTGTATTTCGGGAAGCATGAATTGTATATCAATTGAATTTTAGAATGTGTCAATTGTGTATTAGAATAGTTACTGGCATTCCAAGCAGCATCAATTGTATGTCTATTGATATTTTCTGAAATACAAATGACACTTTCTGAATCTCAATTGACTCTCCTGAAATACAATTGACGTTCTCTGAAATTCAATTGACTATTCCAGAATACAATTGACTATTCTGAATTTCAATTGACGCCTTCTGAAATAAATCTTGAAAAAAGGTGTACTTGCTGAAGTGCAAACGTTCTCATCTTCTACCAGTACCAATAGTTCTGGTTCCGCTTTATTTTGTCTTTATTTACCTCGTATCAAAATGATGCATCACATACCTATTAGTTCAGTTATTCAATCACTAAATGTGTACTTTATATTGTCGACTACATTGTTGCAATCATCGATTTCATGATTAAACTATCAGGTAGTAAACCGAATTCATCTTTGTTAAATTGAATACATATTTTATAGAACCCTTTATGATTCAGCCAAGAAACGATATAGGTATATCAATTTGCAATGTAATTAACATTCTTATCAATATCAGTTTACCCTCTTCAAAAGGAACCGTAATCTTGATTCATGCTAATAAAACCCAGCGTTTCCTTCATATAAGCCAAGTCAGAGTGAATATTTGCCAGTTGATCTTCGAACACTGATGATTAGATGGAGTCTACAATTCAATTGGTGTCCGCAAGGAAGATATTTTTGGTATTAGTTCTGGTAAGCATATGAGGTTTTCAAGATACAATGATACAATTTCGAGAGTGTTTTGTGCTGATAATATGTGGTTTCTGCAGCAGCACTTTTCCTGCTATAATATATTATATTCGATGAAAAAAAAAACATCTGCCTACTTGATTTTGTTCGATGCTTTAGTTCAATTTCTGATATAGGTAGGTAATAACGTTCATTTATTTCGCTTGAATTGAAATGAAGTATCTACAATAAACTTCACACAACATTCAATGTTGCATAATTATGAAATATAAATTTTCCACAATTAAAGACTACAGAACAGGTGAATAAATAAATAGAAACCATAAAAATCTCGACAGGAGCTTTTGTCTTTAGAGATAATTCTTCAATTCTAAAATTGTCACGCCATTTTGAAAGATTTTTTCAAATGAAATGAGGGTTTTGATGTCTTCTGATACTATATTCGAGGAAATCGCGACAATTATGATAATGAAGCGTTCCGATGCATTGAAGAAAAAGTGTCAGCTATAGCTCTTGTTCAACTTGACCAGGGAAGAAAGAATGAAAGTAGATATCAAATATAAAGGCAAACCATCACAAATTACCTGATCAAAATATGAATAAAGTTTTAACTACTCAATGTGATATGGTCATTTTGAAATCCGTATTCCAGAAGACCAAAGCATCAATCTGAGAAATTTTTGATGACCTATTGAACAGCATTCATAGAAGGTGAATATTTGTTCAAACTACTCAAGTTTTAAAATGAATTATTAAATATCTAGGTACACCTCCAATACACATTAATCTTGCGATCTTCCATGAACATACCCATGTGACACGTACTCCCAAATCGTTTTTGGGATTTCAAGTGATTATTTGGCAGCTGCACATTCAATTATTAACTACAATAAAGAGGAAGGTCAAAATTCAGATTCACTTTTACTAAATATACCTACCCATACATACTTTTCTTTTTCTACTCACATAACTAAAATGGCATTTACCGTACGGATATGTACCACGCTGGATGATCGATTAATCACGGATTGTCGATCTGTGATTTATTCAAAATATTAAACACGTTACCATGGCAACACGATTACTTGAACACATTACCATGGCAACGCAGTTCATTAAACACATCAGCTATACAGTAATTTGAGATATGTCTGGCCTGTCGATTGTATTAACTGTCAACTGTTATTTTCGAATTTTGTATCAGAATTCTTCATCAAAAATATATGCGAAAACTAGACGAAAGTGAAATCATCAAAGAGAATGTTATGGTACTTGCATATCTCCAAGAAGTGTGAAAATGAAGCATCCATCTTTGTGAACAATTTATTTATTCTGCGCTAAGCATGGCAATAAACGTGGAACAAAGGTTAGTAAGCAATGGACTGGACACATCTACAACCAATATCACTTATACGTGTCTCGCTGGTTGCATGCAGTTGCATGTATTATGTTCTCAATTCCCATTCCTTTCGAATTATTTTGTAGGTTAGCAGGAATTGCAGGTATGTCATAATGTAATTTTCGGAGTTCGTAGAAAAATCATAGTATGTAACGCATTAATAAACTCTTCTGGACACTCGTTTATTAAACACTCGATCCGCTCTGCTCCGCTCGTGCTTAAACTACTCGTTTCTAAAAGGACGTTTATAACACTTGTTACATAATATACTATTATCCTACTGATAATAAGTGAAGATCTGAGTAAAAATATCTCTTTTCAATGTGATTCTTCAACTTTACTTGAAAGATCTCAATTCGTTCCCAATAAGATAATCAAAAATCCTTAAGGGACTGAATGTCGCTCTAGAGTCTAGATGATTCAACAGTGATATCTTGTGATTTAGGTGTTTATTGATTTGAGGAAATATGTCCCATTTCAATATATTCCGTGAGTTATGTTTGAAAGATCCCGCTCTCATTGTTTCAAGAAGTCAAGATTATTCCTAAGAGTGTGGACATTTCTTGTCTGAATAGAATTCGTTTTTTGATATTACAAAATGTAAGATAGGGGTACGACATAATTAGCGTGCAATACTTCACCAGTAGATCAAACGATTGAAAATATGAAAACAAAATCCTATAAACATAGGTCGAACAATGTCTCACAAGCGGGGTACAGCCCCTTGAAGGTGGTATCTTGAAGATGGTTTTTATTTTATATCTTCGGAACTGTTAATATCAGAACTATGGAATTCTGCAAATCGAACAATCTTTTCATGCCTAATAACTTGCGATCATAATAATTTGAAAATTCCATCCAGAAATGGGCCAAACTGTAGGGGGTGTGGAGTTAAATCACCCTATTTTTTTTTCAGTGCGGTTTTTTTCGCAACTTCAGCATGAAATTATAAAACTTTGAAGCCTTCTGCATGAAAAAGTTCCTCTTGTTCAACTTTGATAGGAAGCACCGTTCTCGAGTAAAATCGATTTGAAAATTACTCCACATGTCAAAAAAATTCAAATGAAATCAGAAAAATTCAAAATTTGAGGAAGTCTATGCACAACCAGTATGTTTGGACATTGTCGATCTAAATGAAAAACTACCTAACTAGGTAGAACGACAATGGTTTGGGAAAAGACAATCATGTCAGGTGACATGAAAATTCATGAAATAAGTGACAGAAGCATTGTAAAGTCATTTAATTTATAGAAAAATACCTATTTATTTATCTGAGTGACATTTATTTCACTCAAGTAATTGTTCTTCAATTCATGGAAAACATGCTTATTAAATTAATCTGGGCGACATTATTTTCAGTCGAGTAGGTACCTAATTGTTCAAAGTGGCGTGCATTTTGTTGAACGCATAGTCGGGCCCGACGACTCAAAGGTTGAGATGCACGGAAATTTGAGATTGGTTGGTTCTTATTTCATTTGCAGCCTCATTTATTCAGTGGTGTAAACCAGATAATTCAAATTCCCCCAAGAATAAAAGTCAAGTGGTCGGGAGATCGAGGTAGCCAAGCTATAGCTTTGAACACAACTTTCAAACCTTCTGTCATTTATTTTATGTATCTGTCACCTGCCTCGATTGTTTTTCCCAAACATAGAGGTCGTGTTCCATAGCCCACGGCAAAATTTTTTTTTTTCGGAAATTCCTTATGAATTTTGAACCATGATTTATTCTCAATTTTTGACTCACCCTGTGTGTTAATTGAGTAATGGCATAGAAAGTGCTTACACCCTATACGAAAGAGGCTTCTTTTGCGAGCATTTTGTTTTCTATTCATTGATTTATCTCTAAAATTTTTCGAATCACAGCTGTTTTTGCTGAATCCTTGCAGATTATCAACTTTCTGAATTTATCGAGAAACAATTCTTCAATGAAATAAACTGATACCAATAATTTCAAAAAACATTTTTATTAAACACAAAATTATGAATTGGGGTGACTGCTCAATACCGTGTATTGTCTCCTCTAGCAACTCTAAGAACTTCTAATCTACGAGGCATACTGAAAATTAAGTTGCTTATCGTTTCCGTTGGTATACGATCCCATTCTTCCACTAATGCATCTGCCATTTCTGCGAGACTTTCCGGAGACCTCTTGCAAGAACGTAACCTTCTCCCTAATTCATCCCACAAATGTTCAATAGGATTCATATCGGGGCTTCTCGCAGGCCAATCAGGCCATTGTAATGTGGTAACACCAGTAGGTTCTAAGAAGTTTCGCACTATTGCTGCGGTGTGTGGTCGGGCATTATTCTGCATCAATATAAAATTATTGCCCACTAACTCTGCATAAGGTGAGACATACTGCTCTAGAATGAAAATTTGGGCATTCATCGACTGCCTCACCGGAAAAACATGAAGGGGTGTCTCTCCATTCATTGAAATCTCTTCCCACACCATAACGAACCCACCATGAAAACTTTCGCATTCTGTTATTAAATTTCGAATTAACCGTTCATCAGTTCTTCTCCACACTCTTTTTCTTCCATCCACCATGTTAAGGCAAAACCTTGACTCATCCGAAAACAAGACATTCGACCATTCAGGAATATTCCACTGTCCATAATTTTCAACAAAATTTCTTCTAACAGCACGGGCAATAATTTGGGACATTTTGCAGGTCTACTAGCTTTTAAATGAACTTCTTTAGACGTCTACATACCGTCTGCTTACTTAATGCAACATCACGAATTTGGCGAAGATCTTGCTGAACACTTAACGCAGTATTTAATCGATCCCGTAAAATCCGCAATCTCAAGAAGCGATCATCTCTTGGAGAAGTTTTTCGGGGGCGACCAGAACCGACCCTCCGAGCGGTGCTTCCTGTTTTTTCGTACTTGCAGATTGCTCTACGAGCAGTTGCTTCATGAACTCCCACTGCACGAGCGGCGTAACGTTTACTACGCCCATCGTTTACTAACGCAACTAATCTTGCTACTTGTTCAGGATTTATTTGAGGCATTTTATGTAATTTCAGTCAATGACACAAGACAATTAATGGCACAACGACAAATGGTCAAATATGGAGGCATACAACAAAATAGTTGCTATGGCAACGGCATTTGTTTTTTTAAAGACAATGTGATCCTACCAGAGTACAATCCAATCAATTTTGAGTACTCTATTCCTTCTATGAATTTGATTTGTGGGATAAGCGTAAGGTATCAGCAAAAAAGCTGTAATTCGGAAAATTTTGGAGATAAATCAGTGAATAAAGAAACAAAATGCTCGCAAAAGAAGCCTCAAGATCAAAAATTAGGAATAAATCATGGTTCGAGAGTTATTCCACCACCATCAAGGAGGCTTTGAAAACATTTTCACCACTTTATTTTTTTTTTAAATACATTACCTACCAACAAATGGAAAAAAAATCGGCCTACTATTTTTTTTTTTTTTGAGAAGATAGGTCAAATATCAAGTTCGTCACTTTTTTGGAACTGAGTGTAGTTGAGTTTGAAATTGAGATAAATTATTCTTCAATTCAATGAAATATATTTTTATGAATATAGGATAGTTGGTTGAAGTTTTTTGCCTTCATTTCGAGATTTTTACTTTTAGTGTGTATGAAAATTTGGCGAAACCCGTCAATTAACAAATCAAGGGAGACAAATTTTGAGGTATTTATATCTGTTGTTACATCACATTAAACCCATTTGCGTCAGCGCAACTACCGTTGAGATTTGAAATGGCAATTATTCTGCTATTTTTGAAATCCTCAGGTGATTTCAAATAGGTTACACCAATTTTGGAAGAAAATTGGGCGTATCTTCTTCGATGGGCCACCCGTATAGGTACTGCCAAATGTGTTCCTAAATCCTCAGCAACTCAGTAGGACTGTTCCACACAATTCTGTATCTCTAAAAGAAAATTTGTATAGCGAAACGATGTCTTCACGTATCCAAACAGTTAAAACCTAGATTATAAAGAAACTGGAAACAACTTTCTGAATTCAGATCTCACTGGTTTTGTTCAGTTGATAGATGTTTTGAGAGAACACTCACTCAAGTTTGGGAATTAAAACTATCGAAAGGGAATCAAACAATTTTTTTTATCTCTTGGAGCACATGGAAGAAAATTCCTATGATGTTCGTAAAACATCGTGCGTATCTAAGGAGGATAGGAAGATGAGATAGGTATTGGAATCTTGATTAAATTTTTAGAGGTCCTAAATCCTTGGGAATAATACTTCTATTAAAGATTTCCAAAGCTTCGCCGCTCTATAGACGAACTGGTAGAGTGTTGTCTGACATTTTTCAAGGTTAACAACGAAGGGATGTGCCGATTGGGCCTGTTGAATTCGTCTGACTGGTATTGCGAGTGATGGAATTATAGCAGAGATTCCTGTGAAAAGTCTAAGGTCGCCCACTATTCTGCGGTGTTCCAATAGGGTCAATTACAAAGTCTATGCTGAAAATGCTTAATTGATAATGTTCTGAAAATCGGTAGTAGAGCTGCGCACACTTAGTGATATTCGATATCGGAATTTCGGACATGAATATTCATTCAAAACAAAATGGTGGGTGATTGAAATCTCCTTCAAGGATCATCCTTTTGACTAGATGAGTATTAAGGTGCTCTCGTGTGATCTTCAACTTTCTATCGGCATCTAGGAAAGTTCTCTATCCAAAGAAATGTCGATAGGGTATTATAGATATTCCTCAATTTTGCTGTGACCATATATTGGTTCTTTATTTCATTTGTATTCAGACCATCAGGAGTCAGTTCCTCTTATCCCTATATTTATCATGAAACAAAAAAAAAAAAAAAAAAATTAAACGGTATTGACGCTTGTTGAGAACAACCCTTCTACCCCAAATATAGCCCAGAAATGAATCAGGAAATGTGATATCTTATCAGTGTTATTGATGAAATGAAGAAAAAAAGGGAATTGAAGAAGATCGAGCGGAACAAATTTATATCATGAACTTGAAATATAATAAATTAAAATTTGGTCATAATATTGATATATTCTCTAGTTTATGGACAATCTTGGTCTTTTGAACTTTGCTTGATCACCTGAGCCATGATCCAGTGGGACAGAAATAATTGGAAGATAATTGAAATAATAATGTATCATCGACTACCAAGTCATTTGGAATGAGTTTTCTTTTCAATCATCATCCAACATTCTGTTTTCAAAAACCCATTTTATTTGAAAAAACAATCCAGAATGGAGGTCGGGTGCCATTTTCAAAAATACATGTTTTTTATTGAAGTAAACTAGAATATTTGAAAAAAAAAAATTCCAGCAGTTCAAAAATCAACTATATAGGAGTACGTGACGTTAAGGGCACAGTGTACAGGGTAGCCACCTGAGAATTTGAGGTATACTGGGAAAGTATATATCGTAGAAGCTTGCGACAAAAAAAGTTATAACTAAAATCGCCATGAAAAAAAAAATCAAAAAATATTTTCAACTTTCTGAAATGGCCGCTAGGAAGCAAAACTGCAATTTTGAATCAAAAAAAGTAATGTTTCTGCGAGTTTCACTACTTCAACCTGCCAAAAAATTACCTGATCCGTTCGACAATGTTTGCTGTGTCTCTGAAAATGAAGTGCTGGGGGAGGGGGGGTTATTCAAAAGTTTCCGTAAGAAACACCCTATATCTTCGAAACGGCTAAGCCAATTTCAACAAACTTGAGCTAGTTAAATAGAGCTATTCTTGGACTACAAATGTGATTGAAGTCTTGTGAGTTCCACACTGGCACTGGTACTGGTACTGGTGGGGGACGTTTCCACGTCAGCAACTAGTGCCCAATGGGACCTTTTTGCAAACCCCAAGTGTTTTCAATAACTGATGTGGTTCGCTCAAGAGAGCTGGCTAACATCCTTTTCAGGCACCGCCCATCAGCTCTCTTTTCAGAGTTTTTCGGCTGTGTTTTGTAGGCTAGTAATGTACTCACTACCATATGCGCAGTGGCAGGCCTGCTAACTATCATCGTTAACCCCCGAGATCGAGGTCTACTTAAGCAGCTGGCCCGCTCTCACGCTCAGCTGGTAGTTTTCCACGCCCACCTACATACACCGTTCTACTTCTTCTCTGATGCTCACAACCACATCATCATATCTTTCTGCGTGTTCTGTGTAGGCTTTGTTACTAACTCCATGCGCCACTTTAGGAGCAGCACTGTTAATTGGAACGCAACAGCGAATCGTGCAGGACTATCCCCAGCCGATGCTCCGAAACTTTACAATATTCAATTCGTAAATAAAATATTGAAAAAAGTTCCTTGCCCGTGCTGGAAATCGAACCCACGACCTTGCGGTCGTGAGACGGACGCTCTTCCATTGCGCCAATCCCGGCTGTTGTGAGTTCCACATGTCGCTGCTACCGGGCTTTTCACGACATTTCGACAAAAATTTTTTTCTAAAAAAAATCGCAAAATAATGTGTTTTTTGATGATTTTCCAAATTTTTCCTTGTAAGAAGCGAATCGAATTTCGTAAAAGTAAGATGACAGGAACATAGATAAGATCTTCACGAATATGTAAAATTTTTTTTAATCCACTCAAAATGAAAAATGACCCTGAAAAGTTAGGGACTACGAAACCCTTGCATTATTGCTTTATATCGTACAACTTCTTCTTAATTAAAGAAAATCATGAAAAACGTGCTGAATGATATCTAAACGAGCTCGTGAAAACCGTATCTCTTGTTACTGACCTGCATTTTAGGCCAAAAAATTTTACGGAAAGCCCTCGGGAAAGCCCTTGAATCCAATTTTTTTCGAAGTAATTAATCTTCTTCATCATCTAAGTGGTGGCCCTAGAAAGAACCGATAAAATTTATATATTACACACCGAGGTGAGAAGTGATTCATTCCTGACGTGAGATTAGTTAGTTAACCGAGACACAAAGCGTTGAGGTTATCTATAGTCTCGAGACAGGAATCAAAAATGATTTTCAACCTATCTTCTTCCTGATATAATTTTTGAGCAGTGTATATCACTGAAGATGACTCTATTTGATCATGTGTATTATCGGTATACCTCCTGCTCCTGGGAATTTCAGAATCCTAACTCAACAACTACAGGGGTGCTTCCATTAGAAGAGAGACGACACTATATATGTATACGTGGGGTGGTAGGAGGGGTTATCTCCGATCAAACAAACCGTATAAATTGTTATCCATTTGTTGAAGGTTCAAAAGTCATTAATTTTTTTCATTTCTATGAAAAAAAAATCGAAAATGTCACATTTGTGATTTTTTCTTTTACGAATTTCGTCGGAATGCACCGTTTTCCAGAAATGATTATTACCTCTGTTTCTTCGTATCAATCACCTATGAAAAATGTTGATTTCCTTGAGTTTTGTCATTGAATGAAATATTTCACTTGATTTTCTGATAATAGTTTTTTTATGTGCTGAAATTCGCTAGATAGCCGTTCACGATGCGAAGCTACTGTAGGTTCGAATCTGGCTATCGTCTGAGCAATAATTTTCTTCGAAATGTGGGATTCATGGTTGTAATCCTGGCAGCACCTCGATGCCCTAGAAGTGAATCGGATTCCACTATAAGCTGTAGGTCCCGCTCTTCCTAGCCCCGCAAGTTTTGACTTCTGGGGAGTTGGTTCCCAACTTTGAAGTAGCGAGACACCAATTTTACGAAAATTTCCGAATTTGACAATTTTTATTTTCACAGAACCAATTATTAAAAAAAGTTGTCCATTTAATACAGATTCCGAGATGAAATATCATATGGGGTTATTCAAAACGACCTTTTTGTTATTGATTTCTTCCAAATGGTGACGTATTTCAGAAAAAATGAATAACTTTTGAACCATCAACAATTTGATAACCAAATATACCGTTAGTTTCATTGCAAATGAACCCCCTACCAACCCACTTCTTCTGATTCAGGACTTATGAGACACCCTATAAATATAATACATAAAAAAGAACGTATGTGACATAACATTTTGGAGGTAATGGAATCCTTTGCGACTTCTAGGTCGAAGACAAAATAAGCTAGCTAGAAAAAGCGATTTTCAAAAATGTACATGATTCGCTAGCGAATATATCGAAAACATCGAGAGATTTGAAAAAAAAAACCTACCGATACGATACGAATTCTATCAGTTGTAATCTTGAATGAATTGACTTTCTCATTGTGTGAAACAGTGAAACCACCTTTGATTTTCCGACTGATGAGTACCAAAGTTGAGAATTCAACAGCTGCTATGTCTAATGTTCAATTGATGAATATCTGAGGGTTAATACTGAAAATTGATTCAAGGAATGTGAAAAAGAGATAAAAACTTTGGAATTGCTTCAATATGTGTCAACCAATTATAAGAACTGAATATTATGCATATATACGAGATCAAAGTGTCTCATATTACATCGAGATGAATATCAAACTGCAGTGTAATCCATTGATTTCCTCGATAACCATTCATGACCTTATTTTTCAATTTCAGATATGGAACCAGACGACAGCAACGACGAAATCTTCTGGAGATGGCCACTTCACGTGTCAAGGAATTGGAATATTCCCAGATGAAATGGACTGCAGCAATTACTATATTTGCTTACGGATTTCATCGTCCTATCTAGTCACACATCTGAGATGTCCGTTAGGCATGAACTTCGATGAACAAACACGCCAATGCATGTATCAGTTTCCATGTCATTATCCAAATTCCAGATTGAACCAAACAGAAAATTATACAGCAGCCACAACTGAAGAATCAACCATACTTCCTGGTACGAATGATGGTCCAAGTGATTGTGGCAAATATCCCAATTTGAATGATCCCACTTGTACTACTTATTATCGATGTAGTCGACTCAGCAATGGTTCCTACTCACAAAGATTGCATAGATGTCCTGATAATTCTTATTTTGATCCAGTTCTACAAGACTGTAATGAGACCTTTATGTGTCAATGTTCATATTGTGAGATGGGTTCAAGTAGTATGGAAATGGTTAATAATGACAGTACAATACAGACATCAACTACCAAGCCAATGATAACCTCTGATATCTCGTTGGAAACTTCAACATACAGCGAGGCAGACTTGACAACTATAATACCGACTGCGATGACTTTTTTCATGACGAGTGCAGATATATATCCCTGTATTTATGTCAATAATCCCTACTACTTTTCGTGCCATGATGAAGGTAGATACTCTAATTTGAATGATCCTACTTGCCAGACATTCAACTTGTGCAATGTGAATAGCAACGGTTCATTTACGAAAGCCTTATACCTTTGTCCAGAAGGATCAATTTTCAATCCTGAATCTCAAGAATGTGACACTAGTATTCAGTGCCCCTGTGAGCATGTTATGAGGAAACAAAATATCACGAGCATATCCACATTATACAAGAAACCATACGATGCTGAGTCAATATCACACATATCGATATCCACCGATGTAGAAATAAATCCAGCCGCCCATTGGGATGTTGATTTTGAAAAGTGCAATTATATTGGGAATTCTGAGTATTTCTCCTGTAATAGCAGAGGCAGATTTCGAAATCTCAATGATCTAACATGTCAAACTTATTATCTCTGTGATTTATTAGGAAATGGTTCATACATCCAAACAGAGTACAGTTGCCCTAACGAATCCTATTTCGATTCAATTACTCAAGAATGTGAGACTAACTACACATGCCCTTGTGAAGATTTTTCGACATTAACAAGCGATTCTATATTTACTTCCACAATTGCTTCCCAAACAGATGGTTCTGTATCTGTAGATAAAACCACTATTTCAGAAATCACCTCAACTATCATAAATACCACTACAGAACCATGTGAGTATATGGAAGATTCCGAATATTTCTCTTGCAGTAGCAAGGGCAGATATAGAAATCTCAATGATCGAACCTGTCAAACTTATTATCTTTGCAGTCAATTGAGGAACGGTTCATTCATCCGAACCCTGTACACTTGCCCTGATGGATCATATTTCAATCAAGTGAATGAAAAGTGTGAAGCCAACTACAAATGTCCATGTGAGAGTTATTCAACATCAACAAATGATCCTATATCTACTTCAACTCCCACAATTCCTACCCAAACGAATGAATCTGTAAATGAGACCACTTCATCAGAAAGCACCTCAACTATCAAACATTCCACTTCAGAATCATGTGAGTTCATTGAGGATTCTGGTTATTTTTCTTGCAGTAGCAAAGGCAGATATAGGAATCTCAATGATCCAACCTGTCAAACTTATTATCTTTGTAGCAAATTGAGAAACGGTTCATTCATCCAAACTCCGTACACATGCCCTGATGGATCATTTTTCAATCGAGTGAATGAAAAGTGTGAAGCCAATTACAAATGTCCATGTGAGAGTGTTTCTTCATCGACTAGTGAGTCTACATCTACTTCATCTCCTACTATTTCTACCCAAACAGATGACTCTGTATCTGAAAATGAAACCACTTCATCAAAAGTCACCTCAACTATTTCAGATACCACTTCAGAATCATGTGAGTTCATTGAGGATTCCAGTTATTTTTCTTGTAGTAGCAAAGGCAGATATAGGAATCTCAATGATCCAACCTGTCAAACTCATTATCTTTGTAGCAAATTGAGAAACGGTTCATTCATCCAAACTCCGTACACATGCCCTGATGGATCATATTTCAATCAAGTGAATGAAAAGTGTGAAGCCAACTATAAATGTCCATGTGAGAGTGTTTCCTCATCAACAAGTGAGTCTATATCTTCTTCTTCTCCTACTGCTCCTACCCAAACAGATGGCACTGAATCTGAAAATGAAACCACTTCATCAGAAGTCACCTCAACTATTTCAGATACCACTTCAGAATCATGTGAGTTCATCGAGGATCCCGGTTATTTTTCTTGCAGTAGCAAAGGTAGATATAGGAATCTCAATGATCCAACCTGTCAAACTTATTATCTTTGTAGCAAATTGAGAAACGGTTCATTCATCCAAACTCCGTACACATGCCCTGATGGATCATATTTCAATCAAGTGAATGAAAAGTGTGAAGCCAACTATAAATGTCCATGTGAGAGTGTTTCTCCCTCAACAAGTGACTCTGTATCTACTTCTTCCTCTACTGTTCCTACCCAAACAGATGACTCTGAATCTGTGAATGGAACCACAACCACTTTATCAGAAGTCACCTCAACTATTCCAGATTCCACTTCAGAATCATGTGAGTTCATCGAGGATTCCGGTTATTTTTCTTGCAGTAGCAAAGGCAGATATAGGAATCTCAATGATCCAACCTGTCAAACTTATTATCTTTGTAGCAAATTGAGAAACGGTTCATTCATCCAAACCCCGTACACATGCCCTGATGGATCATATTTCAATCAAGTGAACGAAAAATGTGAAGCCAACTACAAATGTCCATGTGAGAGTGTTTCTCCATCAACAAGTGAGTCTGTATCTACTTCTTCTCCTACTGTTCCTACCCAAACAGATGACTCTGTGTCTGTAAATATAACCACTTCATCAGAACCCACCTCAACTATTTCAGATACCACTTCAGGATCATGTGAGTTCATCGAGGATTCCGGTTATTTTTCTTGCAGTAGCAAAGGCAGATATAGGAATCTCAATGATCCAACCTGTCAAACTTATTATCTTTGTAGCAAATTGAGAAACGGTTCATTCATCCAAACCCCGTACACATGCCCTGATGGATCATATTTCAATCAAGTGAATGAAAAGTGTGAAGCCAACTACAAATGTCCATGTGAGAGTGTTACTCCATCAACAAGTGAGTCTATATCTACTTCTTCTTCTCCTGTTCCTACCCAAACAGATGAGTCTGTATCTGTGAATGGAACCACAACCACTTCATCAGAAGTCACCTCAACTATTCCAGATACCACTTCAGAATCATGTGAGTTCATCGAGGATTCCGGTTATTTTTCTTGCAGTAGCAGAGGCAGATATAGGAATCTCAATGATCCAACCTGTCAAACTTATTATCTTTGTAGCAAATTGAGAAACGGTTCATTCATCCAAACCCCGTACACATGCCCTGATGGATCATATTTCAATCAAGTGAATGAAAAGTGTGAAGCAAACTACAAATGTCCATGTGAGAGTGTTTCTCCATCAAAAAGTGACTCTGTATCTACTTCTTCTCCTACTGCTCCTACCCAAACAGATGACTCTGTATCTGTTAATGGAACCACTTCATCAGAAGTCACCTCAACTATTTCAGATTCCACTTCAGAATCATGTGAGTTCATCGAGGATTCCGGTTATTTTTCTTGCAGTAGCAAAGGCAGATATCGGAATCTCAATGATCCAACCTGTCAAACTTATTATCTTTGCAGCAAATTGAGAAACGGTTCATTCATCCAAACCCCGTACACATGCCCTGATGGATCATATTTCAATCAAGTGAATGGAAAGTGTGAAGCCAACTACAAATGTCCATGTGAGAGTGTTTCTATATCAACAAGTGGGTCCATATCTACTTCTTCTCCTACTGTTCCTACCCAGACAGATGACTCTGAATCTGAAAATGAGACCACTTCATCAGAAGTCACCTCAATTATTTCAGATACCACTTCAGAATCATGTGAATTCATCGAGGATTCCGGTTATTTTTCTTGCAGTAGCAAAGGCAGATATAGGAATCTCAATGATCCAACCTGTCAAACTTATTATCTTTGTAGCAAATTGAGAAACGGTTCATTCATCCAAACCCCGTACACATGTCCTGATGGATCATATTTCAATCAAGTGAATGAAAAGTGTGAAGCCAACTACAAATGTCCATGTGAGAGTGTTTCTCTATCAACAAGTGGGTCCATATCTACTTCTTCTCCTACTGTTCCTACCCAGACAGATGACTCTGAATCTGAAAATGAAACCACTTCATCAGAAGTCACCTCAATTATTCCAGATACCACTTCAGAATCATGTGAATTCATCGAGGATTCCGGTTATTTTTCTTGCAGTAGCAAAGGCAGATATAGAAATCTCAATGATCCGACCTGTCAAACTTATTATCTTTGTAGCAAATTGAGAAACGGTTCATTCATCCAAACCCCGTACACATGTCCTGATGGATCATATTTCAATCAAGTGAATGAAAAGTGTGAAGCCAACTACAAATGTCCATGTGAGAGTGTTTCTCTATCAACAAGTGGGTCCATATCTACTTCTTCTCCTACTGTTCCTACCCAGACAGATGACTCTGAATCTGAAAATGAGACCACTTCATCAGAAGTCACCTCAATTATTTCAGATACCACTTCAGAATCATGTGAATTCATCGAGGATTCCGGTTATTTTTCTTGCAGTAGCAAAGGCAGATATAGGAATCTCAATGATCCAACCTGTCAAACTTATTATCTTTGTAGCAAATTGAGAAACGGTTCATTCATCCAAACCCCGTACACATGTCCTGATGGATCATATTTCAATCAAGTGAATGAAAAGTGTGAAGCCAACTACAAATGTCCATGTGATAGTGTTTCCTCATCAACAAGTGAGTCTATATCTTCTTCTTCTCCTACTGCTCCTACCCAAACAGATGACTCTGTATCTGTAAATGGAACCACTTCATCAGAAGTCACCTCAACTATTTCAGATACCACTTCAGAATCATGTGAATTCATCGAGGATTCCGGTTATTTTTCTTGCAGTAGCAAAGGCAGATATAGGAATCTCAATGATCTAACCTGTCAAACTTATTATCTTTGTAGCAAATTGAGAAACGGTTCATTCATCCAAACCCCGTACACATGCCCTGATGGATCATATTTCAATCAAGTGAATGAAAAGTGTGAAGCCAACTATAAATGTCCATGTGAGAGTGTTTCCTCATCAACAAGTGAGTCTATATCTACTTCATCTCCTACTATTTCTACCCAAACAGATGACTCTGTATCTGTAAATGGAACCACTTCATCAGAAGTCACCTCGACTATTTCAGATACCACTTCAGAATCATGTGAGTTCATTGAGGATTCCAGTTATTTTTCTTGCAGTAGCAAAGGTAGATATAGGAATCTCAATGATCCAACCTGTCAAACTTATTATCTTTGTAGCAAATTGAGAAACGGTTCATTCATCCAAACTCCGTACACATGCCCTGATGGATCATTTTTCAATCAAGTGAATGAAAAGTGTGAAGCCAATTACAAATGTCCATGTGAGAGTGTTTCTTCATCGACTAGTGAGTCTATATCTACTTCATCTCCTACTATTTCTACCCAAACAGATGACTCTGTATCTGAAAATGAAACCACTTCATCAAAAGTCACCTCAACTATTTCAGATACCACTTCAGAATCATGTGAGTTCATTGAGGATTCCAGTTATTTTTCTTGCAGTAGCAAAGGTAGATATAGGAATCTCAATGATCCAACCTGTCAAACTTATTATCTATGTAGCAAATTGAGAAACGGTTCATTCATCCAAACCCCGTACACATGCCCTGATGGATCATATTTCAATCAAGTGAATGAAAAGTGTGAAGCCAACTACAAATGTCCATGTGATAGTGTTTCCTCATCAACAAGTGAGTCTATATCTTCTTCTTCTCCTACTGTTCCTACCCAAACAGATGACTCTGTATCTGTAAATGGAACCACAACCACCTCATCAGAAGTCACCTCAACTATTTCAGATACCACTTCAGAATCATGTGAGTTCATTGAGGATTCCAGTTATTTTTCTTGCAGTAGCAAAGGCAGATATAGGAATCTCAATGATCCAATCTGTCAAACTTATTATCTTTGTAGCAAATTGAGAAACGGTTCATTCATCCAAACCCCGTACACATGTCCTAATGGATCATATTTCAATCAAGTGAATGAAAAATGTGAAGCCAACTACAAATGTCCATGTGAGAGTGTTTTTCCCTCAACAAGTGACTCTGTATCTAATTCTCCTCCTACTGTTCCTACCCAAACAGATGACTCTGGATCTGAAAATGGAACCACAACCACTTCATCAGAAGTCACCTCAACTATTTCAGATACCACTTCAGGATCATGTGAGTTTATCGAGGATTCCGGTTATTTTTCTTGCAGTAGCAAAGGCAGATATAGGAATCTCAATGATCCAACCTGTCAAACTTATTATCTTTGTAGCAAATTGAGAAACGGTTCATTCATCCAAACTCCGTACACATGCCCTGATGGATCATTTTTCAATCAAGTGAATGAAAAGTGTGAAGCCAATTACAAATGTCCATGTGAGAGTGTTTCTTCATCGACTAGTGAGTCTATATCTACTTCATCTCCTAATATTTCTACCCAAACAGATGACTCTGTATCTGAAAATGAAACCACTTCATCAAAACACACCTCAACTATTTCAGATACCACTTCAGAATCATGTGAGTTCATTGAGGATTCCAGTTATTTTTCTTGTAGTAGCAAAGGCAGATATAGGAATCTCAATGATCCAACCTGTCAAACTTATTATCTTTGTAGCAAATTGAGAAACGGTTCATTCATCCAAACCCCGTACACATGCCCTGATGGATCATATTTCAATCAAGTGAATGAAAAGTGTGAAGCCAACTATAAATGTCCATGTGAGAGTGTTTCCTCATCAACAAGTGAGTCTATATCTACTTCATCTCCTACTATTTCTACCCAAACAGATGACTCTGTATCTGTAAATGGAACCACTTCATCAGAAGTCACCTCGACTATTTCAGATACCACTTCAGAATCATGTGAGTTCATTGAGGATTCCAGTTATTTTTCTTGCAGTAGCAAAGGCAGATATAGGAATCTCAATGATCCAATCTGTCAAACTTATTATCTTTGTAGCAAATTGAGAAACGGTTCATTCATCCAAACCCCGTACACATGTCCTAATGGATCATATTTCAATCAAGTGAATGAAAAATGTGAAGCCAACTACAAATGTCCATGTGAGAGTGTTTTTCCCTCAACAAGTGACTCTGTATCTAATTCTCCTCCTACTGTTCCTACCCAAACAGATGACTCTGGATCTGAAAATGGAACCACAACCACTTCATCAGAAGTCACCTCAACTATTTCAGATACCACTTCAGGATCATGTGAGTTCATCGAGGATTCCGGTTATTTTTCTTGCAGTAGCAAAGGCAGATATAGGAATCTCAATGATCCAACCTGTCAAACTTATTATCTTTGTAGCAAATTGAGAAACGGTTCATTCATCCAAACCCCGTACACATGTCCTGATGGATCATATTTCAATGAATTGAATGGAAAGTGTGAAGCCAACTACAAATGTCCATGTGAGAGTTTTTCAACATGAACAATGTTATTTCATATCTTCTTCTCCTACTTTGCCTTCCCAAACAATGGACTCTTTATCTGTAAATGAAATCACTATATCAGAAATTACCTCAACTATTTCATATAACTCTTCAGAATTATTATGTGAGTCCAGTGAGGATTCCGGATATTTCTCTTGGTAGTAAGGGCAGATATAGAACACTCAATAATGATCCAACCTGTCAAGTCATAATCTTTGTACTTCATTGAGAAACGGTTCATTCATTCGAACGTCGTAAACTTGTCTCAATGGATCACGTTTCATTCAATTGAACGAAATGTATCGAATACAACTGGTCTTGTGAAAGTTTCTCGGAAGGAATAAGTGACCTACTTCTTCTTCCACAATCCCTACTCAAACAGGTGACCCTGTATCTGTGAATGAAACCACTATATCTTAAATTACTAATATTCTAGATATCACTTATGAATCGTATGGGTTCATTGATGATTCCGGGTATTTCTTCTGCAGTAGCCAAGGCATTCAAAGGAATCTCAATGATCCAACCTGTCAAACTTATTATCTTCGTATTCGATTGAAGAAGGGTTCATTCATCTTTCAAACGCTCTACACTTGTCCATCATTATCTCTGAAGTCATTTGCAGAATGGTTCATTTTTTCATACCAACTACTGAATTATATTTCAATTAATCAAAAACAGAAAAAAACACAAATTTCTATTTTTAATTTTCTATAATGTATTAACTAAGTCGACTATTCTGATATCACACTAGAACTATGTGAGTTCTTTGTTGATTGTGAATTTATTGCTTTCTATGGTTGAGCGGATTCTAATGATTCAATTCCATTAAATCAATTTTCCAACAAATTTTACCTTAAAAAATTGTCTGAACGGATCTAGTTACAACTATTCAGCAACCCAAAGATGCGATGTTGATGTTATTTTATTGACTGTCAATTACTTCTGTTCGAATAAATGTCGGTACGACCACTAACTTTTGAACAATAAGGTGAGGGATAGTGTTATGCTGAATAATTGAACTTATATACCACGTGATCGGCTTTGAAACATCCAAACAAGAATCCAACAGAGGGATGAAAATCTTGCAACGCTGACGTTGATTTCTTCTGCAGGGTACACCTGATACGTCAGAATAGAAAGTATCAAAATATAATCTTCAGGAATATTTTTTATCAGAATGATAATTCGTAGGAAATGTTATTGACAGAAAACGGTATTCTCAAAACACGTTTTTCATCGTAATATGAAACATTGAACCATAATTCGTAGGAATATATTATAACATGAGGTTAGTCGTCAGAATATAATCCATCAGAATGGTATCGCATATAAGAAACATATTCGATCAAAACAGTAATTTATCAGTACCGTATCCCATCATGACGGTATTTCATCACAACATTATTCTGTAGGATGGGTATTCTACAAGAATCTTATCATATTGAAATGTCAATCCAAGAGAACCTCGTTTAATAGCAACAGTAAATCATCAGAACTCTATTTCGCCAAAGGTTGATGTTGCGACGAAATACGATTATGATTTGCCATTGTCTAGAATGAATACAGTTCTGACAACACACAATTCCGAAAAATTACTGTTCTGATCATTTGATATTATGATGATTCACGGTAACGATATAAAATAGAGATTACCGTTCTGACAAAATATGACTTTCATAGATTACTTTTGCCACAAAACAAATTGTCTCTTTCATAAAGTACGGTTTCGTTGAAAAACCGTTCCGTCAGAATACGATTCTGACGAAATATGGTTATGATGAATTACCATTCCTATGAGGTACGGTATGATGTTTAACGTTCCTATGAAGTACATTTCTTCATCTCACTAAATGATGGATTACTGCTTCGTTAAATCATGGTTCTGTTGAAGAACAATTTTGATTGAATATATTCTGATTCAATACGATTTAGATGGAATACGTTATGACGAGTTACATGCATTATCCTCCCATTTGTTATTCTTGGGTCAGTGGCCCATCTTTTTCCGCTTCCTCAAGGGTTACTCGTTCAGAACAGGCCCTCAAGCTTGAAGAATTGTAGGACTTTGAGTGGATTGAATTCATGCCATCCTGTACAACATGGAATATTGAAAACCTTGGAATCGTACCTACTAGGTGTGGACCACCTCTTGGAATCCTTTGAACGAGGAGCCGTTGAGGAAGAAAGCAAAAGGAGATAATCAGGTCGTATTCCATATGTCAATATCTGATATTACTAGCATATCATGAATTATTTCATCTCTATTTGTTGAAGGTCCGGGAGCATTGCGAAAGTTAATGATACTTCAGGTGCTTTTGACCTCACCGAAAGCAAATGTTCAGGTTCAGCTGTTAACCTTCAATCAATAGCTGTACATTTTAAACAAATATTCTAATTCAATGTATCATCCGATTTTTTTTTCGTTTTCTATAACTCAATTTATCATTCCTTTCAACTCCGGAAGAACCTTGTATATGTGCTAATTCTTGACCAGTCTAATCATTTTTCAATCAATTCGATAAAAACTGTTTCTTGACGACGAAAATATTCGATATTGAATTTTGAGAATTGTTTCAGAATGTTTGCTTTCAGCAGGTCGTTAGGTATAAGTACTTATAGTGAAATGTTGATGAATTATTGTTAACTTTTGGAGACTGTCATCATTTGTTGGGAGTTGAGGATTTATATATCATCCAGTTTCGGATGAAATATGAATTCACCGTTCGATTCTCATTGAAATATTCTCTCATATATCATTAATCAGATTTATTTCAAACAAATTGAGTTTCATTATATGAGTTCATAAGAGGTGCATATTGAATCACATATTATTATTATTATTGAAGTTGTTTGGCATGCTGTTTTTCATTTTAACTCCAAAATTAAAGCTGCATTTGAAATTTGAATCGGGTTTTTCTTATTTTAATAATAGGTACATCTGATCAAGATCAAGAATAGGCAAGGGACATCTGCAAGCAGTCCCAAAAGGTTAGGTTTAATATAAATGAGTTTTTGATAGCAAGCCTTGAGAATTTTCAATCTCGATAATTATAAATGCAAGTGATTGGTGAATTTTGTTTCAGAAATCGTCTATCAAAGTTTTGATCCGTATTCAAGGAATACTTTGTGTTTCTATAATGAATTCGTGAAACATATAGTTATTCACATACTGAGTGATACTGGTATAATGATTAATTTTCATTGTACCAGTATTTCATGTACCTGACGAAGCTACTGTGTTAGCGAAAAATGTCGTGTGATTAGGAATTTTGTGTGAATATTATCGTTTTTGAAATTTTTACTTTTGCTATGATTTTCATAGGACTGATAGAGTGAGCCCAAATAATGTTAATACCTACTTCACATGAAAAAATATCTACCGCGATTCGTTATGGAGTGATTGACCTTGAAAATTGAAATGAAACAATTAGGTATATTTCATGTATAACTGTTTAACGGTTGCCAGTAAATCGATTCATACTTATGCTCATTTCTATATGCAAACGGCTGTTCAGTGATTATGTTTATACAGGATGGGACGATTTTTTTCCGTTGAATGGAGGTATTTTTGAAAGATTTGATAAATTTCTATATTTTGCTTCCACCGTCAATAAATTCAACGTCCCAAGTTTAACCTCCATATCAAGTTGGAGAAAAATATACTGGGTAGTTTAATACTTATGGACGAGTGAATAATTATTCGAAATCGTTAAATTACATCAAATATGGTATGTTCACAACCACCTTGGTGACTATCTACCATTGGAACATTTCGTTTTACCTATGAAACACCCTGTATTTCAATAGGAACGAGGAGAAAAAACCCCAAATAATCAAGCAAAATTGATGTATTTCTGTGTGTTTCATGAAAGATGTCTATGAGAACTTGTGACCGTGAATGCCTCATCTCGGAGATATAGGGAGATGCAAAACGTTTGGCCGAAAGTTCACCGTCAAAAAAGTTAGGACAATTTTAAATAAATAATGATTGCATACCATGCGCTATACATATGAAAATTAATACGAGTTTTGGATTTTCCACCAAAAACTTCGGCTACAAAATTTCATGCGAAAACTTATTCCTTGCAAAATCATTTTTGAAAAAATGGAAAATGAATCATATTCAAAATCCTCTCTGTATCTGTATGCAATATGCATTGAGAGCATGTCATGATCGACATACAGGGTTGTACGGCGAAACGGATATATCTTTTCTCAGTACGGACCAACGAGATATTTCAAAACATTTCTTAATTCTCCATTCAATTATCTGATCTCCGACTGTCCTGATACTCCCGATTGACTTTGAAGTTTCTTTTGATTTGCAAGATATTTGATAAAACTCAATTTGATGTGATTTGAAATGATCATTTGATACCTTTTGAAATTATATACTGTGGTCTCAGGAAATTGATAATACCAGGATATTCAACCGGATATTGATGTGATACAGGGTGTTTCTATACCATAAGGAATAATTCTTCAGATTCTCATCTCTTAAAAAAAAAAGAATCTCTTGAAGACATTCCTGCATAATACTGAACATAATTGATTATGATTGATTCAATAAAAATAAAGAAAGTGAGGAACTGCAAGAATTTATCGATTTTACACGGCATCGAATCATTAATCTAAATTGCATCTTTTTGAAGTTTATTGGGCACATAAAAAGTGATCAAGAGGGCTGATATTTAGGTATTAGGCCGTAGAATTGAGATATGTATTGAAAAAATAGTCAGTGGCATACTTACAAAAAATTTTGTCGATTTTGTTGATCAAAATATGACATTACCACT